GGCCTTCAGACCAGTCATTTAGTTATATTAAGGAAAAGTTGCCGCGATCTCCGTTGGAAGTAAATGCGACGAGTTGGGCGGCGAGAAAAGAAACTTCCGAGCCTGTGAGCCGACCGACGATTAAGAGGAGTAGAAAACTTCTACAGACGCGCATGTGTGCGTATGCGTATGTATGTGTGTGCACGCATGCGTGTGTATATGTGTGTACTTGTGTGTGCTTGTGCGAGATAACAAATGTCATCTCGGCTATACTACGCTCCTCGTCGACAGAATTATGACCGCCGCCATGTTCGCGGTGTCCTCGTAGACCTCTGTGCGACAATTGCGCGTAAAAATACGAGGTGCAATACTGAATATTGCCGCTGTAACAATCTTTTTCATCATACACTGGATTCAAGCAACTTATTATATCAAATGTTGACATTGATGAATTCTTTTAGAGATACAATATTTTACAGGGAAGAATTGAAATTATAAACACACTTATCTCTCCCTTAGCAGAGCGTTACGATTCTTAAAATTCCGTTAAATCATTTAGAAAGCGATAACGCTACGCTTCAATAAAGAAAATCGATATAAAAAATTAGGGAACGACTACTAATTATTTTTTTAGATATAGCGAAAGATGATGATTATATCGAAAGATAAATTACATCACCGTAGCAAAGGTTAATTCGTGAACGTTCCGAAACAAGATTGGATCTTTCGCTTAATGACAGGATCGACCTTGTGGGAAAGGTAATTTAGAGATCCTTACGATGGCGAGCATTTCGTGCATTATCCTTAATGATGCAAGGAGCGAAAGATCCCTCGAGTATCGCCACCTTCGCACGCTATTAGGCACGATTATTTGATTGTATCTGTTAAGTTCAATCACCTAAATTACTTAACGAGTAAAAAGTGGTGGAAGACATCATCATCATGGTATGATGGAACGGTCAAAATTAAGAACGCAAGTAATTTTTTAATATTAAAATATGTTATCGAATGCTTATTGAAGAGTAGAATTGGAAACATAAAATAATTTAAATCCAATAATTTATTTAAACTTCTTTTATAAATCTTAATTTTCAGTAAACTTTTGGTATTTTAAAATCATACTAAGTAGTCGCATGTAACTTGAGAAATCAGTTATTTGTACTTCCACGATAATTTGTAAAATTGAAGCACACAGATAATCATAAAGAATTTTCGACTGTATACTAATTTTTCTAAATAAATATTGCTTATAATAAAGACCCTGTCTCGCGTAGCTAAGTAATAAGTAGTAACAATGTAAAAATTCTAATTACCTAATTTTTTTCATTTGCATTACGTTTGATTTACATTCCCGAGATGAAAATTTTAATATTTGAATATTGAATATGATACATTTTCAATATTACCAAATAAATTAAACGCATTACTATTTGCATTTACTTGGACCGTAATATTTGATGAAAATAGAAAAAAAAAGTTTTGCGTCCTGCAATGGATTTTTAATGAAAGCTATCCAAAAATATAAAATTATGTAAAATAAAAAATCAAATTATGAGGAGCTGACGACGATTTGCGCTGTAAATTTTAATTTATGATTTCTCAAATCACGAATTGATTTTCACTTTCTTTCTTTTTGTAATAAAAGACAATTAATTTTATATAATCCTCCTATTGAACTAATCCCGACGCGAAAATTTTAATTTTCTTTCTTTAGGAGAAAGTAGAACATGTTGAAGCTAATTCTTTCTATTTCAAAATTAGAATTAAAATATATTATTCCGACTTTCTTTCTCTATTTCTAATAAGTGATAAAAATTAGAAAGTAGAAAAATTGTTCATGTAATCTTTTATGAAAGAATTATGCAAAACGTGAAATTATTATTAAAAAAGAAAAAGAGAAATATAATATATTAAACAGTTCCTGCTTTTTGAAAATCAGGAATTAAATTTCATAAAAATAATTCCTACTGATCACTTTTCATTAAATTCAATTTGCGAACGAGGATTTAATTTGGAGTTAGTAATTTTAATAATTAATCAAACCACGCATCCGATTGTCACAAATTAAAAAAATGCTAAAGGTTACCGTCTTTTTAGAATATGCCAGTTTATTTGATTATCCGCAAATTCCACTGGTATGAAATCTATATTATTTATAGGACTGCGTAAAATAAATTTCCGCACGATCTCATTGGCGATGCAGTTGTATGTGCATGCAAAAATCAAACCATCATGCCTTCGTACAGAACAAATAGACAAAGACGGTCAGCGGTTAAAGTCATAGGCGACAATTACCACGAGGGTGATTCCGTGCTATCGAAAATTAACTGCGCTGACTCGGACCGATGTGATCCCCTGGCAATAGTACATTATTGTACTAGGCTCTAGCACACGTGATTAGCACACACACGTTGAGCTAAAGCCTGCATCGTCGAGCCGCATTACCATAATGATTCTCAATCAATGGATTTGGATACTTTTGACTTATACTTCGCGACGGTTTGCGGAGTATTCGTCATTTATTTGCAGCTAATATTTATTATCTCCGTGATTTTTGCCTTCTATATTTTTTTCGAAATTTTGCGACATCCTCGCGTTATATATATATATATGTGTAGCATAGGTCGGAAATAATCGACAGTAACTAATCAATGTAAATATTCGTTCAGTTTTGGGAGTTTTATCAAAAATTGGTATATAATTTTTATGTTCTATTTCGATATAACGATACGTCGCGAATTTGATACGCAAAACCTAAAGCTCCGATGAAATGGCAGAAATAATGTTAAACGCGATGACACGGAAGGTATGTGAAATTGTATTGCAAAAATCTGTCACTTGCTATCAGTGCTGCGTAAAATATTCTCTACTCTGATGCAGCATCATTGTGCGCAAAATGAAGTATAGATTTTTGATACTTTTCAAAAGTATCGTCGTGCAAGATTGACCGTTGAAAGAGAAACAGAGATTTCGCAAAGTAATGATACACCCGTTGCCAGGTCGGATGAAAAATGTTGCAATATAAATTAAGACCAAAGAGATATAAAAGAAAAATATGAGGAAGAGAAATGTGTTCTCTATCAAAGGAGAGTGTGGTGTGTCGATTCGGTGTGGATTTAATTCGATGTACCGCGCGCGATGATACGCGTTTTGCATACTTCAGACCAGAATGTCAATTTCGTGAATCAATACAGGCATTGCCGCGCGCACCAAGATATTCCAGGTAACAAAAGCAATTTGGACTATTCCCCGTGGCAAATGAGGCGCCTCTGATTAACACACATTGGCTCAATTACACGGGTTAGCCGAGGGAACACGAAATTGCCTGCTATTAACGGTGGCGCGAGGGTGGATAGACATACGAGATATATCAGCCGGATAACACGACGATACGTTGAAAGCCATAGAACGTAATGGGATACTGCAGAACAAAATGTTTCGCTATTTTCTTCCGTCGCGCTAATTTTCGGCGAACCGACGCGATGCGCGCGTTTGGCCGCGTCGGCCAAACGACTCGCGGAAGCGAAGCGCCGAATAAACGGGCGAAAATGGCACGCCGAGCGGGCTTCGCGAAATACTTTGAGTTGTATAAGGGTCGATTACATGGGGGAGAACTTTGGCATAACGGATGGTTATTATTTAGAGATGGTTCTTTAGAGAAATCGCGGTACAGAAGAATGAATGGCGCATAGTCGCAACTTGAGCTGCCGTGCTCTAAATACGCGCGTTATGCACTAACTCTGAAATATTAAAATAGAATTTCCTCGAGTTTCATACTCTATGCATCGCATTTTAACGGCAGAATCGTAATCTGGGAAGTTAATTCTTTTATATCCTCCGGGAAAGTTTTCATGATTTAATTAGCGAATTATAGCGAAAATACTAATATTTCTCTTAAAAAAAAAATAAATAAATAAAGATTAAAAATTTAATCAAGGTGAGCCAGGAGTTAATCATACTAAAAAGTTGACTGTTGCAAGGAAAGAAATAAGCCCCGGGGAGAGGGGTGGGGGTATGTTATAATACATGTGTATAATTATGATAAAGAACAATAATTATATATACGAGTATTCAAATATGTCTTATAATATTGTAAGATTCAGAATTCATATGTTGTACGACTTACCCCTGCCACATGTAACCTCGCTTCCTTCTAGAATGTTCTAGAACACCCGCATCGTCGTCCGAAAAGTGCCAGATGGAGCAGTAGAGATGCAAGGGGAGAGGAGGGGTCAACTTTGTCGTTCATCCTGTCCTACTTTGAACAAACGAATATACGAATATCAGATACCATTATTCTGTATGTCGAGTTCTTTTATCGTGACTTTATTAGCAAATCTCACCTGACAGGGCAGTGCGTAACGACAAATCGTACGATGTAGTAAGAATGCTATCGGTATCCTAACATAACCAACTCGGGAGCAAGATTGTCGCGGTGCATACGCGGTGATACACAATGTGCAATGCTTACTTTCATCGCGAATCGGGTCGCATTGTCTCCAATTACGTTTCTGCAGAGATATTTCGCGATTAATCACCCGGACGCAACAGATATAAGTACAGACACGACGACTCGAATCTTACAAGCTACCACTCACCTCGTTCTTCACTTTCGCTGTAAGTAAACGGCTATTTCAAATTTTAGACTCAACCGCTTGTAGTTCGATCACTGTCCTATAGAGTGCGCCACTTTCTAGCCGCCTCGCAAACCTTGCAACGGGTGTGACAATTACGTCGGTAATCCAGATTTGTCGCGACGAAATTGCCAGCTTTTAAATGCAGCTTTAAAACTTATTTGTTAATTTATTCGTCGCAAATCTCTCTCTCTCTCTCTCTCTCTCTCTCTCTCTCTCTCTCTGTAATCCACTTAACCGTACGTTTGCGTTTCGAGTACCGCCTAATCTTTTATTCAATTATCCGACGCATTCGTGAGTGAATTACCTCGTGTAAATTTGTTTCAGAAACTATTATTCGAGACAACAATTTCGAAACTAAATTTTATATTTCTTTGTTGAAAATTATTATTTATTGTCGCACAATAGCGCGACACCGCGTAATATCCAATGTTCAGGGTTTTTTAAAGTTTGCAGCCAAAGCGGTGTTATCAACAACGTGTAAGTCCTCATAGGTTTCTTATATACGGGACACTGTAGGAAGAAAAGGTTTGTGCAATATATCGGGCAGTTTTATCACTTCATATTCGTAATTATAAATTAAAGTTGAATGTTAAGCGTGAAATTTATTTTTATGCATACTTGGTACAATTTTGGGCTCTTGTCCGGAGCGTTGTATAAAGCGAAAATATGAATCACTGGCATCAACACATAGAGCACTTTATTTGCTGATTCGCACAAACGGTTATTTCGTCTGTCCCATCCGGCACCTTCCAGAAACAGCCCATACACGTAAACGCCTTCCTACTTTCCGGACACATCGTTAATTACTCAAAGTTACCTATGTAGATATTACACTGCGCTACACGGAAAAAAATCACTCCTTCATTAGTGCAACTGAATTTTCTATTACTTGAGGACCAGACGAAAACTCGGTTGTAGGGGCAGAAAGATTCTTGTAGGTTTCGATTCAGCCGATTGCTTTTTGTTATCTCAACCGAATTTTAACGCAGCTGAATGTTTTTGGTCATGTAATAACAGAGATATCATTCATCTCATCACTGATATCTCATCTGGTCCCTGTTCAGTTGCACAAATTGAGATTTTTTTTCCGTTTATATGCAACCTGTGCGATTTTAATTACGCACGGGAGGTGGTGTCTTAATTTCCTCCGCCATGTTGCGTAAAACTTCATTATGAAGAGTAACATTATCCAGCGTCCAACCTTTTCGAGCTCGCGTTATCTCTTGTTTCATCGCCGTCAAAAATCCTGCAAGTCCGTCGAGTCAATCGAGAACGTACTGTATTTTCAACGAAAGACGATAGACGCAGAAACACATACGCGAAATATGCACAGAGGAATTACGTGCGTCGAGTTGCAAGTATCAGAGTAACATTACGCGGACGGTGCCAGGTATCGAGCTTCGTGCGAAAATCGCGCGATTGCGGAATCAAAAGCCCGTTTAACACGGAAACGCATACCTTGCGGATTGAAGAACCCGGTCATCCAAAATTTCGCCGGTCTCCCGCTCGATAGCCAAATCGATAGCTGTTGGTTTCGCTCTAACAGCTCCGTGAACCAGAATCCTAACGAAGACGATTCCCACGATCGAGCTTTCCATGTCTTCGGTATCCTGGCATCGTATATGCTATCGAGTACGTCTCGAGATTCCTTGAATTTGTTCGCATACATTTGCTCACTTCCGAGACGCTTGATAATCGCATATTGCGTGTGATTAGAAAATTAACGCAAAAATTACCTCGCTCATTATAATCACACCGTCAATAGCCAGGAGAAGATCCCTCAGCGAGACGCGTAGCAATTTTATAACCACTTGTATCCTATCGATCTCTTGTCTCAAGAAGATGTTCATCGGAGCGGTGTGTCCCATCGCATGTAATCTATGATAATAAACACGTCGTTGAACATTCTTCCATTAATCAGCCAGTACGGAAAACAACTGATGAACAAATGCGTTTTACAAACCTCTCTTTTACTTCAAACATATCGTACACCCGCGGGACTTTCTCCAACAGTTCCTTCGCCTGTCTGGCGACAACCACCTCTCGAGATTCCGCGCCAGCGACACCCGCTTCTTTCGGCTGCACGGATATTATCATATTCAGCACCGTCTGTGTGGTGTTACTCTGATACCTGCAGCACGACACACGTAATTCCTCAGTGCACATTTCGCGCGTATATGTTTTTGCGCACGCGTACGCATCTTTCGTTGAAAATACAGTATTCCAAAAATACCCACGTGATATCTGCGTTCGAATGCAGACCGTACACTTGCGGCGGGTCTACGGTGCTCATGGCGTCTATCGCCTTCAGATAGTCGCTTACTTGCTTAAATATCAAAAGCGGGTAGCTCTTGTGAAAAACGAAACCTTCCGCAAAAAGCGCGTCCGCGAACCACACTTTTGCAAATGTATTCAACAACCTCTTATCGTAATCGTCGGTAACGCGACCGCCATATTGCACTTCGCCTATCATGTAACTGGAAATGTAAATGTTCATGCACAACGTATCTGTCTTCAGGGAAAAGAGAGCAATCGCGAACAGCTCGGATTTATTCGTTTACCGCACGGTTTGCCAACTTATCCCACGCTTCGAATCGTAGTCGTTCAAATGATTATTTATGAACATGCAGGATGCCAACCAATCCGCCAAATTAAATTCGTACGGTATGTTCCATCCCAGAGGGCCGAACTTCCGTCTTTCCTGGACGACGGTGTGTAAAAAAGACACGGTGTATATTAGAGGTATGTATTGTGCGGCGTCGCATTGATCCAGCATTTCCTGATTCATGCCGCTATACGTCGCCAATAAACCTGCGCGCACCCCTGCAAAAGCAGAAATCGCACATTGACGGCGCCGCTTCGGCGTACTCAAATACTTAAATCTTTATTCGCAGCATTAAGGCTCCTGTATCCTTCGAGAATTTTGAGCGTTTTCTCGCTTCTCACACATCATCAATCAAGAGATCCGCGATGCGAGAATCCAGAAGTCTTAAATCTTTATGTGAAGAAGCAAAATGGATACCTTGCGGGGCTTCATAGGTATACTTTATAGACATTTGCAGTAAGGAGACAGGAAAATCTTTATGCGATTCCGTTGTGATCCACACGCGGAAATTCGGATGAGGCGCTTCCATTTCCAAGATAAAGTTCGCCAATTCAATCATATACTCCAAGCCTAAGTGACAATTTTGCAATAGAGCCCAGAAACCCTACAAATCGTTCCGATTAATAAAGCTCGTTATAATGAAAAAAGAACTACGAGGTAAGGGAATTTTTAACGACAGTTCAACGTACTTCAGTTTTCGCGCTGCTAAGTAGTCGACGAGCGTGAACTTCTTGACCCTGTCCCATCGATATACTTTTACAAACGATCTCCATTCTTTTGGCGAGTTGCTCGATACTGGGTGTAGGATCCGAACCCATGCTTAAGAAACAGATCATCGGTGTGTTCGGCCTCGACTCGCTATGCATCACGTCCAACAGCGTGATTACGGGTTCGGCGTACCTCGCACCCAAGGAAGACGCTATGTATTTTCTGGATTGCGACAGCGCTCTGTCCATGCACCAGGCTCTGCAAACATATCATTTCCGCTCTCATATCATTCGTTCTTTCCGCAGTTTTAAATATCTTAATGATCAAACTAGCCGGAGGATTACCGGAGAATTACCTTATTAAGAGCAAGCGGCGAAATGTGTCGAGGGTGTTATAACCGTCCGGTATAACTTCCTCCTCCGGCGCCTCTTTGTCGAACCAATGCTTCCAAACTTTCTCGGAGGCGGGTACTTGAGACACGATATACTGAAACTGCAGTAATGACGAGAGTGCCACTAAATTAAGCCACGTCACATCCGTGATCCATTTGCAAGGTTTCGGCTCGACGGCCTTTAGGTCAAGCGCGGCGCCGCCTTTAATGAAATACTGGAATTCTTCGTGCGTGATGTTACCGCGTTGCAGATCGATCTTCAACGTCATCAGCAGAATAAACATGTACTTGTGTATCTCGTAAAGGCCGCGTGACTTGTACTTGAATATCTCGTATGTCAAGTATTCGATGATGTAATTGATCCTTCTTTGATTGACCGGACTCTTCTCGGATCTGAAGGACGAGAAAAATCATGATCTGATATGCATTCCAACGGGTTAAAAGCTTATATGACAATTTTAGTCATTACATGCTACATACATCTATTTGATTCCTATTTACCTAATCATGGAGATATCGAATCGTTCTAAAAATTGAACGAGGGATGTTTGGTACATGCAGTTGACATGCGGCATATCGCATATCAAGAAATACAAAACGCTACCGCGTGTCGCAACCGGTCGGAATTCTTCGCGTGCTATATCGATCTTCAACTCCGTATCTCTCGCGATACTCAACTTTTCGTTCACTTCCGCCGCTGTCTGCTTCGTGGTATTTAATACCGACATTAGTTCAAGATCTTCTATCAAAGGACCCTTCAAAGAAACGGAAACATACCGAAGGAATACTATTGTTACTTTTATATTCTCCAGAGTTACTTAATTAATGCCGTGCAACGAGATGAAACTCACTTGTACAGTTGCCAATTTATGAAGAAGATTCGCTTCTAATTCTTTAATTTTCCTATTGTTTGCTGCTACATCGGCAATTAATTGCGTTTTCTCCGTTTCCAACTCTTTTTTTTCCATTAGAATAACTCTTCCTAAAAGTTGATCTTCCAAACCTACATAAATAAGTTAACTTAATGCATAATTGCGATGTGAATAAATCAATAAAGTTTTGCAAGGGACATAACGTAGGAAATTATATACCTTTCATCGTGACAGTGAAATCGATTATAGATGTGTGAGCAAATACTTCTGGGGTGTAGGAAGGATTTGGTAATTTCGTTGTAATATAAAGCCTAAAATCTTTGCTGATATCCACTTCTTTGTCGCCTAATTTCACCTGACATCAGAGTAAATTACATAAAATATAAGTAGTTGCAATTCGATATACAATTCGATATATGTTTCTTCACCTTTAAAGAAGTTCCTATTTTTATAAAATTCTTTTCCAGCAAATTGTCCAATATTGGATCTATTTCTTCTCCTACGTCTTGTATCAACAACGGTCGTCCAATCGATATAGAATCTTCTAAATGATTTCTGAAGTACTTATGCGTTAACCATGTTACCTGAAAAAAAATATCATAATGCACATTAAAACAATATTAGTCTAATTCAATTTTACTACTATACCTGTAAAGAAAGATCTTTTTCCTTATTTTTAATCCATGCTTTGCCTTGTAATTGTGGATCGATCAAAAGTGGATACCTCAATGCTTTCGTTACGATTATAGCGTTCTGAAGCGACAGTTCGTCCGTCGGTAATCCTTGAAGATTCCAGTCGCCAATCTGTGGTGGATTACATAGTCGTTTATTCGAAATATTATATTCATGTCGTGACAGTATACTTACCGTAGCCGTATCTGTCAATATAGCAACGACATTTATGATAACGGAGATTGGGATTTTTCTTTCCTGTATAAAATCGAACCACTTCCTCTGCAAAAGGACTCGGAATTCCTGATTGAAGGGACCGCAATAAGAGAGGAACGCAGTCAGCACCAACATATCACCGACAAGACGATCTATTTCTGACTTAAACATTGCCACTTGCTCCGTCCATCTAATTTTTTCTTCAGACAGTCCTTCGATCATAGCGGACGCGATATTCATTTTCGCTTGACACGCTGCGGCTTGGTCGACTATTATCTAACAGAATAGATAGGCATTACATAAAATGTGCAATGAGCACGCTTATTATCTAATTGTCAGTTCTAATCGTTATCGTTCGAACTTGTCGTTCCTGCAACACGGCGTCGAATTCAATCTGCACCAATTTCAGCTCGTCGTCCTTTTCCTTCAATAAGTCTTCCGCTTCGAGTAAATTCCTGTTAGCTTTCTCATACTTATTTTCTTGAACGAGAAGATTCGCCTATGAAATCATCCTCCTTGATTACGCATTTTCTGATATCGTATAATTTTATATATCAAAATTAAAAAGCAGATAATGTTATTTCATGGCTTAAAAAAATGAAAGAGGGAAGGGTTGCACTCTTGGGTATAGAACACTTTTCCTTTGCAAGCCGCGAAGTGACATCGGCTGTTCTCATCACGTAGCAATGTTTATTAATAGGGAAATACCTTTAGAGGCAGCACATCTTTATTTATTCCATAAAAAGTAACCATAGAGATGGTCCACTGTATGAGACCCGCCACATTCCCGCAAGCTTGTTTCGCGGCTTCATAAGTGTACATATGAAAATTTAAGTACGGCAACATCAAGTCGACAGTTTCGGCATTAATGTTATCCTTTGGAAAATGTTGTAAATTATGCAAAAATCTAGTATCAGCCATAACCTGCATAAAATGAATATGATATTTCGTGTTTACGGCGAGGCTGTCTTGCTTCGATATTATTTGTTAAAATATTTGATTTAATATAATAACATTATACCTTCAATGCTTCCGACCACGAGGCTGTCAAGAACTGATGCTCGTAATCAGGCTTGACCGGCTCCAGTTTCCTCCCGAATAAGATTAGAACGCAGTCCATTATGAGTGTAATTAAGTATGGCGGTTTACTCAATTTGCGAACAGTGGCAATATCCACTGCTTTGATAGTCTGAAATAATAAATGTGTGCATCGCGCCATCGAAATCGATACTGACGAGTAATTGATATGTAATTGATACTGACGAGTATTGATTGTTATTAACACGTCAACTGTCGGGCTAATCTCCATTGACTGTACGACAGCTCAATTGATATAATCGAATTATTAAAGATACACATAGAAGAATACTACATTCGAGTAAATGTTACTTGTTTTAAATGTGATACTTTTCTCTTTGTGCAACAAAGAAATATAATCTAAAATGTATATATCTTTTGGCGTGTTCCATCGGTTCTCTATTAGCAATATGATCAAACCTTTTAATGCAATTAATTAGACATGATGAATATTATACATGATGAAACGTTAATACCTTAATTTAATGAGAGACGCGACAGTATCGTAGCGTCGGTCACCGCCGCGGCATTGAACGTGTTAATTATCGATCGTATAATACTTGTAACGCAGCTTCAGCTTCTAACAATGCAGGCTCCGCAGCTTTCAACTTCTGCTCCGCTATCGCTTTTTCCTTTGCTATCACTTTCAGAATTGCTTCCGCTTCGTCTTTCGATACTTGCACCTTTGCTTTTACGCCCTCGGCTGCTTTCTTCTTCTCGTCAACGTCAACTAAAATCTATTAACGTCGTAACATTACACATTGTTAGATATAGGTCACGCGAATGCGATAAAATTGATATCTCATATAAAAATTTCGCAACATATCACTTACTGTTTCTACTCGAACGTTCTTTATCGCGATCTCCTCTTGATTTCTCTCCAATTCCTTTCGCAGCAAGTCCACTTGAGCTGCAGCATCGGTCAATTTGTTTAAACCGTTGCTCATACGCATCGAAAGTGTATCAATGTTGTCCAAGTGTTGCTTGTAAAACGTCTTGTAGCTGGCGATGAACGTCAAAAACGATCTTGGAGTCACGTACACTTGACGTCGAAACCTGCGTATATATTGTAAAAACTAAATTAATTTAACGATTTCCGCGGGGACAATAAAGTATTGGCGAGAGGGCGAGCGTACCTATCGAAATATTCTGTACAAATGTCGTTTACGTCATCTTGAATATCGCCCACAACTTGCATTAATTGGTGTTTCACTTCCGGGCTGCATATAACTTTATATTTCCTCAAGAAATGCTCACCGACCGCGTATAATGCATCCCTAGGCCATCGTGAAAACCAATTCAGCGTGCAACCGGATATAAGACCGGGAAATTTTAATGCTCGAGATCGAAACTTTTCACCAACCTAAACGAACAGTTATTAATTTAATTAATCGGTAAGAAAGAATGTGAAATGATTAGTACGCAGATATATATTTAAGCAGTGCGCGACACATCGAAGAAGCTCACTGGCGAGAAGCACAGAACAATGTGCAAGTTGTTTCTCGCTCGCGATATGAAATAATCGTAAAGGTTGTCTTGGGTCGGAGGACGTCGAGGATCGTCTTTCTTCATTAGCGGCGTGACGGCAGTCAGAATATCATCCAACTCGTCCTTCGGGAAGAGATTGGCCACCTCTCCAATGCTCAGCATGTTGTTGATATATTCCAAAAATGCTTCGTCCTTTATTTCATTTTCGGTGAAAATGAAAGTGAGGCCTTTGCTCCCCGTGCCGGCCGTGCGATACAATTTTCGTAAATCGTCCATCAAACTGGCTACGTTATAAATCCTGGAGAACGTGTAACTTATTATGAATACATTATTTATTATCTATATGTATTGTATTCCGAACATCGTTGATCGGTCGTATCCAAAATGAAATCCAGGGCTAATCACGTCGTTGTGAATCGTCGACGAGAAATCTGATTTCTCGGTGAAATTTTGATACTCGCCTAGATAATGTTATCTGGAAGAAGTTAAAGCCTGCGATAAAGGATGCCAATCGTGTCAGGCTCTGCTTGCCAGATCCTCCCACTCCCACAAGCATCGCATTGCCTCTGGGAACTCCAAGTATTCTCGATATTCGTATCAAGTGCACCAAAGCATCGTGGAAAAAGACCAGATCAAGACGCATGCCACGTACATATTCATTAAACTGTTCCATATTTTGCTGGACTTTGGTGATGACAATCTCGTAACTACGATCACACCATCATAGAAACGTTTACGTTAACGTGACAAAAATTCAATTTGCTTTCTACAAAGAATATAAGCATAATATTTTTGAAGAGAAAGTTCTTCGGAGTACATGACAGATGACGAGCTTTTCTTCTTACAAATTTATGATGAATATATTTTAAAATTCATATTCATTTAAAATTAAATTAAAAAATATCTTTTGTTGAAGATAACACAGTTACTTAAAGAGAAAAAGATAAACCGAGTAATCATTTTCTTTGGCAGTATAATATGTTGCCCTATATAAAGTCGAGTTTCTCGATATCTCAGTATACCTCGGTATCTCTTCGTAAATCTTTGGTGCCTCGAATACGAAATCTTCCGGCTCGTCACCCGTCGGTTCCGGCGGTTCACGCAGAAAGTTGACGAAGTATGTCTCGACTGGAGAATAATGTTCAAAGTCCGGACCCAGCATCCTCTCCGCGGCGCGTCTTAGCGAATTCTGAAACCATTCTCTTTCGCTGGCGGTGATAAAGCTGCAGGAATAACGGGACGGATATTTATTATCGTGATTATCCCACCGTGGAAATATTCTCATCTCATAATAAACGTAAAACTAGATCGCACCGATCCGCTATGACACGCGTGCATTCGTGCTCCCACAATTTCAGCAGGCTCGTTATAGACTCGCACTCAGCCCTTTCTATCCGGAGTATTCCCTCCCAGATGCGCGATAGGTCGCGCAAATTGAAAACGTAATGGAACTTAGCCGGAGTCGGTAACATCTTCACTTTGGTTTGCTGCCACAGTAATCGGGTCAGCGGTATGAGCTTCGGCAAGAATTCGACGATCCTCTCGGAGAATCTCATGGTGCAAAAGTAGCCTTGGCCAATGGCACCTACAGTTGTAGACTCACGTTGAATGAATCGCGTATTGCGCTTGGAAGTTTTTTTCACATTGGTCGCTTACGACGTTCATCGCGACAACAATCGCAAACTCATGATACAAATTTATTGAGCGTCTTTTCAATCAATTTAGATTTAGCAAAAGTTTATGTGACGACATGAGATTACGATTATCGTCGCAACGGGATGACAGGCGATATTGTAGCCAATATAGAAGAGTCTTATCATTAGACGGATAATAATTGTACTTACTAAAGATCGTATCCATTGACTTGTTGGACGGTAGTGTGCAATTAAAGATACTGAACTGCCGTTTCAATCGCGCCGGGATATCGTTCCGCCCTCCACCCGGATGAATCATCGCCGCGAGGAACATGGTATCCTGTATAGTGCTGAAGTCACCCGGTTTGTCCAGCGAGTAAAATCCTCCGTATTCCATCAGCTGACGCACGACTTCGTTCGTGATTTGATCGCCCCACTCGTTTATAGCCGGCATATTTATATCATCGATGAAAATAGTCATCTTTCGGCCGCCAGGAGGTCCATAAGTGGTGCCTACTCGCTTTTCTACATAGCTCTCGAATACTCGCTGAAAGCGAATCAATTCGTGAGACGAGTGATTGGTAACGATCTCACATTCGAAATTACGACGTATAATACCTGAACCATGTTGGGCGTGGACGCTGAAGAAAAGTTAAACGACTTGTTTAAATGGTATTCGGGGTCATGCTTAGACATATAGCTTTCTATCATGACAGTTTTTGCGGTACCCTGTTCGCCTGCATATTAAGCGATTAATATCGCAAATTTATAATTGATATGCTTAAAGCGCTACAGTCAATTATCAGCGTGAAATGTTCACTTACCTATCAATAATACTGCTTTCCCTTGTTTCGCTATAATGTCCAGCAAAAATAAAGTCCTCGTATTGTCGACATTAGGAACGAGAATAGTGTGGTATTCTAGGACACGATCCGACGGATATTCAAATTTTGGCACCATTTCGTTCCAATGTATCCATTCCCCGTCGTCGGACACGAGATACTCGAAAATAGTTTCATCTTCCTACGAGCCAAACATTTCACATGAGAAAATTACAAGTGGTGCATTACGTTGATCGATCAAATACGATATGTGTTAAAAAAATCATTTGCACGAACCGTATATTTGGGCCAGTTACAATGTGACTCGTGATTTACAAAAAATTCCTGTAACGCTGACCGTGCGTCGAATTCCAGTACCGCACCCAAACTCCACATAAGAGAAAAAAGGAAAAGCTTCTCGATATGATGCTCAGGTAATACTTCTGAAAATTACGATTTCGATCAAAAGCGCCTCAAAGTGTATTATGGTATAAATAAGTATTTTAGCACAGGAAATGATATATTTACTAGTCGGATCGGAATTCCCAACGTTCAGACCTTCCAATAGATCGATACATTGCCGAATGTAGAGCGCTTCTAAAAGCGTCATTTTCGTCTGCAGCTTTGTTTGGACAAATGTGTGCGCGTCTCCGTATATTTTGTGGAATAATATCCGTAATATATCAGCCTCGTTGGGGGAGCATTTTCTGAGCCAAGCCTGCGTTTAGAAGTAGCGTCGCGACATGGAAAACAGGCTTCCGCAAATGAATATCGCTATGACGACGCACACACAAAGGAATTAGATTGACCCAGATATCCGTGTTACCTCTAAAATTGAAGTCCACTTTAATACGGAAGCACTGACAAAGACCATCCCCATGCGCGATATCGTCGCCGGTGACGCATTGTCCACATTGTCAGGCTCAAACACCAGCTTGGTATTCGACGCCATTATTATGCGATCACCGTTCGCCAACGTTAACGTTTTATTGTCGTCCAGAACCGAATTTAGATTCTCGATCCATACCGCGTCGACCGGGCCGTCCAACACCATCCATAGATTTTCCGTCTTCTTCGTTTGCGTCGATCTGCGCCATATAGTGGAAAATATACCATCGGTCCAATCGTTCGTCGCGACATCGAGCCTTCCGAACATTTGGGACGCAGTTATCGCCTGGCAATTTTTTCATTATATTAGCAAGGAATTGTCTGCGCGTCGATATATTTGGGACGATGCAAAAAATAACGATTATATATATCAACCTTTGGATTCAGCCTAATTTCTTTGTGCGGTATGCCCATCTCCGTTAGAGCTCTCATTAACGCCCACATACATCGCGTTTTGCCGGATCCTGTCGGTCCGAGAACCATCAGACCGTGTCGAACGAGCGACGTCTCGTACAACTGTAAATTAATAACTTTATATATGTCGATATATATTCACGTGCAAAAAGTTTCTCTTCCGATTGAATTCACAATTCATTGAATTTACCCAAGAAGAAATAATTCCATGTAATTATATACACAGCCGTAATAGAGAAAATTTATGTATGATTTTATAAAAGATGATATAATTATATATCATCTATTTACTTGGTTTTATAAATATTCTACCAAATATTTCAGTTTAAACAGGTGCGCGGAATAAAAGTTTTCCCGTATCCGCTCGAGGAATTTTTAGACACTGAATTGTAATATTTACGCTGAATCCGAGAGCAGAGTAATTTTATGAGATCAAAGAATGCACGTGAGAATATTTATATCAAATGCACCTGCACGGTTTTCAAGTTCCACTCGCTATGATTCGTTATGCCAAGGACCACCGTAGCGTTAGCTATTCCTTTCTGTAATTCCTTGTACGTCTGAGTCATTAACTTTATTCCCGGGAACATGTCTTCGATGAGTGACATAAACAGCGGCTCATCTTCGTCTACCAATTTGGACAGATTCATGTCTCTGGAAAGTTAATAAACGTTCAAAATATCTTAATTTGCAAAAGTTGCTTGCTATGAGACGCAATGATGATCTTAATAGCGTAATTTTTACCGCAACACTCTCATAAGCGTCCTCTCCTCGGAATCGGTAGGATGAGCTCGTTTCTGAGCGCCGAATGTCCGCAGACACGATAAAATATTTCTCAATCCAAAGTCGTAATGCACTTGTTTGCTAAGTTGCTCCTCGCATAATTTGTACAAAGTGAAAAATTTCCGCGATAATACCACATTCTCTTTGAAGCCGCACGCCGCGAGTTTTACTCGCATTATAATCTAGATAAACGAAATTGAATTCTCATATCAACAAGGCTAATTGTATTTTACATTTTCACGCGATAAAGGATATAAATCCAATTTGTCAGCAAGAGAATGTGTAATTTAGTGTGTATTTCGGCATACAGAAGGCAATAAATTTTTCAACATACTTGTCTATCGGGAACCATCATGGCGACGCTTCTGAACTGTATTTTCAAATTTTCCGGCAATTCTTGCCGCCCGGCGTATCCGGGATTCATTGTAATAAATATCCCAAATTCATAATTGAGTTTATACGTTTCGCCATCGCTGCGAATAATATGTACATGTCAGTTTAATTAAAGGTAGCTTTTGCAAAATAAATTCTACTCAATAAAACGATAAGTTCGCGATAAGTTCGCGATAAGTTCGCGAAATAATCGGTAGTTCATATTCGTGTAAAAATATTTATCTATTTTACGAAATATCAAAAATCCAATCTCTGGAATTAAAAGTTTAATTTTACCCTGCATTGATTACCCTGCATTGATACCTGAATAAGAAGCTCAGCTTCCGTTCTTTTCGCGCGTTAAGCACAATCGCTATTTGTTGCGCGGCAACGGACAATACCGGTAGATCGATTCGATTAAATTCGTCGAAACATCCCCAAGAGCCGGACTGCGCGAGACCCTTAAATATCCTGCCTAAACCTCGGAAATCCATTTGATCGGAGCAATTAAAAACAACCACGTATTTTCCCAACGCTTTCCCCATGTCCTTCGTTGTTTCCGTTTTACCCGTGCCGGCCGGGCCCGCTGGAGCTCCGCCAAAGTTCATACCTGAAAAAATTAGTTTTTGCATCATATTATATTAATAACGTGTAATGAAAATACAATTGTATTTATACACATAATTATATCTCTCTATTAATATCATTAGACAGATTGATATATAAATATTATTTATTAGTTGAACACGATGCGGTGTATAAGCAACGCTGCGAATGTTGTTTTACACCGATCCTTCCCCCCTTCGAGTTCTGTGGTTCGACTATCTTACCCACAGCCTGCGCGAGAGTTATGTAACATCTGTCAGTGAGCGGTGTGATCGCGAGCCGATCTGTACAACCCAGAAATTCATTTTGATAAACGAATTCCACGTCGGTTATCCTGATCAGAACTTCCTCCGTGTCGTCATTGTAATAGAACCGACACTGCTTCAACCATTCGAAGTCGTGTATGCTTCGTATTCTCAGACGACACAACTCGTCGAATATGTCTCTGGAGAAAAAATTGGTTGATCCGATTTATCTCCACCAATCTTCGCCGCGTTAATTATCGTAAGCGATAATTGAACAGCGTGAGGAATAAATACTCGAGAGCAGTACCTCTGGTGCACGTGTATCGTTATCAAAGCTTCGTACTTCACTCTGGCGTACTTCGTAAGATCTCTGACGGTCGCTTCTATAAGACTATTGAGCAAGTCTAGAAACCACTGATTAGTTCGTTTCATTATCGTCTTGTCGCGTTTGGCCAACGTTACCGCTATTTCAGAATCGCGCGTCCATAAAATTTGCAACGCTAACAAGCCGACCTGCAACGAAACGAATATACGGAAAACGGATAAAGCTGTTAATTTAAAATGCAATCTCCAATTGTTATACGCGAGATACACAAGCATCGTCTCACTTGCAAAACAGAATTCTCTATTAGTGATAAAATATCAAATTCGGCTGTGTAAAGCGACTGCAATCCCGATGATATTACAGCACCGACGGATTGCTGATGGACTGTTAACAAAGTGTTCAACCAATTCTCTACACCTCCTGTACACACGACTTCTTTCTCCAACACTATTTCCTCCTCTTCTCGCGAATGCATCGCTAAGATTTTCTCATATTCTTTTTCGCAGAAGCTCAGCTGCATACAGAGAGAAATATGAAGTTGGATTTCATTGAAAAATCGAGTCGGACTGTTTTTGACTGACCCAATATCTCGATACCTTTGCAATATTATCGAAAAATCCATCGAGATAATTTTGTATCGTATGGCAGTCGGACGCTTGGCCAAGTATCTCTAGCAAAGTAGGATCCGATATGAAGCAGAATCTCGGGAAAATCGCACGCTTGGTTTCCAGATAGCTGCATTAATAAAATATTTTAATTACATTGACAGGCATAAACGCAGTCGCTGGATTTTGTCGATAATATACATACCCGCTGAGAGATTTCTGGCACGACTCTAATTGCTCCAGCAAATGAGGTAAAAATTGACTCATGGTTTCATCCCCGGTACACGTCTCGACCGCGTTCAATTTCTCATGAGCGCGAAGCATGAGTTTGACCCAGGCTTTATCGATGGTCTACAATAAAGGTTGATTAAATTGAACCGCAGATATGATATTCTTATATACGTACATTGAAACGCTTCGCTTCAGTGGGCAATTGCTTCGATATGTCACCGCCGATAAACACCGCTTCCAAATAAGCCCATAGATTCTGCACGGTCAACCATTTCGCTAATATTTCTGACGTGTTGCTGAGTTTAGTCTGCCACAACTGAATCTCTTTTTTGAACGGTGCGTTGTAACTGTAAGCATCGCACGTCAAATAGATTCTTAATGTGCATTATTCTAAATTCGGCAATTTTGGATCTGAATGTCTGTCTAATATACCGATTTGCTAGCAGAGAACTTATGATCATCAAACTGTCTTCGAGTTGCGCTATTATCTCAGCTGTTTCAGCGCCCTTCAGCAATAGTTCGCCTCTCTGCTTGAAGTTGGCAAATTGCAGATTTACAACAGTCCAATCTGCAATCACCTGCCTCAGTTTGATTTCGATATCTTGTTCCTTCACCGCACTAATGCATATTTCCTGCGGCACAAAGTTTTCATGTAATTTTCACGCTTTATTTTTGACCTCTGTGTGTTTATTTGCATTTTATTTCACTCCTATTAAACACATTTAATACACCTCAAGATGACTCGGAAAAACCACAGCAACGATTAATACTTAAGGACGATAATTTGATGATTTATTCGCGCATACCTCCACGTCATCTTTGTACTTCAATAGAGGTGCTTGCATAATGTGTGCCAAGGTAAATGTTACTGACTCCACGTCGAAGAAATATTTACACAGTTTAGACATTCTTTCCCAGTGTCTCTCTTTCATAGCTTTGTTCGCCATCATCTCCAATAATGGACACATCTCGTTAAAATCGTCGATCTTTTTCTTCAGATCGATATACGCCGGCCAATCTCTCATGGCTTTAGGTAATCTTCGGCATCTAAAATCGCGAATATTACCGCGTATACATAACGGCTGTTACAATTTTAAACCTTGTTAAGCGGATCGATCTAATTTACTTGTTTTGGAACTCGGCCAACTCGCTCACAATAGACTCTATATCAAGTTCGGTCCATGGAATATCATAGTAGTTGTCGATGGTGCGCATAACTTGCAGGTACAATGTGTATAACTTCTGCAATAAATTAATCTCTTTCTTTCTCTGTTGAAGAGCTGGATACTCCGTTACCTCCATGCCGAATAAACTCTCGCCACTGCTGTAAGTCTCATACCTTTCCCACAATTCTTCGAAATGCGCTTGAAACAGGATGAGCCTTGAGGAAAGATAACGTAGGCGAAAAAAACCTCTTTATTATTATTATTATTATTATTATTATTATTATTATTATTATTATTATTATTATTATTATTAACGATTTATTGAAATGAGTTTATTGAAATTCTACTAAAATCAAATATGTTCAATCGGTATGCATGTGCAAGTTTTTTTTACAAAAAGTAACTAAGCGCGTTACCGTTCACTGGCTTCTTTTGCAGGTATTCCTTCGACCATTGGACCATTGAGCTCGAAATCAATGTCAAATTCGATCACATTCTGTTTGAGAACTGCAACCCCTTCGACAAGTTCCTTTCTCAACGGCTCTTGCATTTCACATATAACCGCTTGAACTCTTTTCGCCTGGAGAAAGAAATATATGTATTTGTGAACATCGATATCGCTTATCGTGAGAGGAAATAAGATAACTTCAAAGCGCGATAATATTATTAATGAAAAACTTAGAGTGTATCGAAAGAAATATTAAGCAGACCTAAATAAAAATGTCAAGTCGATACCGTATGGAGCATGTTGCTGAAGTTATATCTTAGTCCGTCTACTATATCTTGCTCCTCCTTTGATACATCGACGTTGAATTTTCCCATCATCGTATAAGTCTCTTCGATTAGAATCAGTTCCATGTCTAACGGTATAAACTCATTCCGTATCACTCCCAAACATTTCATCGCAACCCTGACGTCTTCTAAATCTTTAATATTCCTAGACAAGATCTTGTTTTTCCCTTGAATATATTCTGTTACATTCTGCAGCTTTTCCTTGTATCTGTTTGACAAAACGACGCCCAATGATTTCTTCCAAGCACTTGCTTCAACGTAAAACGCTAATTTTAATTTATCTGTAAAATATACAGAATTACCTGCAACACTTTCTAAAACAATTCTCTTGTGCATTTAAACTACTATTATAACTACTACTATAGCAGTATTAATACGATTATTATTATTGTTATTTTATAACAATCATTCGAAGTATTAGAACATAAAATTTGTCTTACTTACCCATATTAATGTGAAGTGGACCGACTACGTGGTAATCCGGCAAATTTTTTATTTCTGTCATTATATTCTCGTATTCTATAAATTTCTCTTTGATTTCTTGTATTAGAGGCGCGGAATCGACAAATGCTTGTATTATCTTATTCCTATCTTCCGCCCATATATAAGAATACCTTAAATACTTCTGCCGTTGATGGATAATTAGATGAATTTAAATTACTTTATACGATTGTGAATATATAAGTAAACACAAAATAAATTACCACACCTGGCTGACTCTGGAAACGTCATCTCTCAATGATAATATTATACCTTGCAAACTCATCGAGCTGCGAATTATCTCTTTGTGATCAGATACATGGTGGAAATACGTGTTGAGCGAGTTATCTTGGTTATCTGATCGGTATAAAAATAAGCAGTAAAATATTGAGAATATTCAAAAATTATTTAAAAGATTACGACAGTGTAAAAAAGCATGTTGATTTTTCTAACATCGTAGAACATATTTATCGTTCTTCTTTCTTATTTTATAACATCATTACCTGTAAATAGATCCGCTCGCATATTTGTTGAGGAATATCGTTGGCCCCACATAATCACTTTCTTGTGAGTTTCTATAACATTCGTTATAACCTTGCCGAAATGATACTGTAATTCTTCTATCGAAGGAATGATTACGATATTCGGTATTTGTAGGACAAAGTTCGTCATCATGATCGGAATCTCTTGCTCTTCTATCGGAATATCTTCCATCAAAGCACTACAGTAGAGCACATATTAATTTATATATACGTCGATTTATTTTATCCCTCGCATTCTCCGTGTACGCGCATAGACCATGAAATAAAAGTGAAATACAGAGACGTGTGTATAAAAGAAAATAAAAAACATGCGCGTATCGAAAGTACTTCAGATTTTCCGCTTTCGTCCTCAATAAATCCAGAGAAGTTTTAGTGCACTTCACTAAAGCCTCGACCAATTTGTTATTGAAGTACGCGAAGAGTTCCATGCAATCGTGGTGCACTTGATTTATCCTCACTGAGCTCGTTCTTTCGACAGGACCGAAGCCTGTGTGTGTTCGATCGAATCCTTTTATTGACCGTAAAAATAGATTAACCCCACATCATAACGAGTGTCTTCGGAGCACATGCAATACCTGGCTCAAATGATCCTTCGATTAATTTGGTTTCAGATACTTGTTTATGCATTTTCTCGGGATCCATCCAGTTGTATTTGATGTTTTGCACGGTGGGATCAGTCACACGATCCATGAACTTGTTGATAATCATGATAACAGCCCTTTCTGCAGCGGATGACTTGATCTCCAAATCAATCGCGATCTTATCCCTCAAAGCCAAATTATCGGCTAAAAATTGTTCCGGACGCTTCGGGTACTTATCCAGCTGCAGCATCATCATTTTTGCGATGCATTCGAACACTTCATCCACTCGCGCTTCCTTCATATCTCGCACTTCCTTCACGAATATCCCCATGTCATATATCGCGTTTTGTATATCGACGCATACTTGAGAGATCTTCAAGGAGGACCAAGTGATCACCGATAGACAAGGTTGAAAAGCAACCTCAAGGTTGATCAACGCGATTTTCATTAGTTTCAGGAATAAGATTGGGATGGATTTCCTGCACATACAAACGCGACAAGGTACATATTTTTCTGCAAGAAGCAGACATATTTTTCTTGAATCAGGTCAACTAGCGATTTAAGTTTTATACCTGAGAACGTCGTTTTTCTTGAGCAACTCCTTCACCGTTTCGTAGGACGAGAATATCTTCTCCTTGCAGAAGATCAGGATTTGTATAAAGTCTGGCACTTCCAGTCCCAACTTGAACATGTGTTCCGACTCTCGTATCACCTCGTAAATGTAAGGATCGAAATTCAAGAAGTACTTGTTCGTCTTCGGATGGCGTACGATTATGGGAGACGACAGCGCCAAGCGTACCTGACGATCGAAAACGAGTATAATCTCCAGATCGTTTTGGGAACACGATAATCACACAGGATATAACATCCGGAACTTACAATGTCGGCCGCGTCGTACCACGCTTTGTGATATATCAATTCGTAATGAATAAACACACTGACGAGTGCATTGTACGCTTTGATGCATTTCTGCATAGGCTCTTTCGTAATCACTTTCTCGTGCAACTTGAAAATATTCATCGGGATCTCAATGCGTCTGAACAACTGCCGGATCCACAAAATTCTACCAACGATCGACGGAATATTCCTCGGCACGGGTGGATTGGATCGATCCTCGTTATACTTGTCGCGAATATTCTCAATTTCTTGTTGATACATTGTCACAAGTTCCAGGTACTTCCGTTCAATCCTCAATTGCTTCAGATGTAACTTTTCGAATCTGAGAAACGAACAACACGTAAGCCACAAATGTGCAATTGCTCGGACGATTAGAAAAGGATGATGTCACCTAGCGCGATGATATCACCTAGCTATGAATTCTAAAGCTTGCGATAGACTCGGGACGAAGGAGACATAATTATAGAAGAATGTTCGGAATTCCACGTCGGTTTCTGCGACGCTTTTTTTATACTCGTCGTAATCGACGTCGAAGTATGGTTTTCTGTGATTCAGTGGATCGTACTTCTGCGACGAGATCTTCTTAAACTGATTTGTGTACTTTTGCGCGTACACGTCGATTCCTTCTATCGTGGAACTGTGCAGAATCGAATACATCCGCGCCGTTTCGAGGATATCCATGATCTACATTGTGTATCGCAAATGAGACGAAGCAACGATACGTAAAATTCTAAACACGTATTGTCGCTTACTTTTATTATCCTCGTCTTAAAAGTGGCAAACTTCCCGAAAACATACATTTCAGATACCTCAAATGGCTTCTCATTCGGGGATTCCGCAACCTTCTTGCACATATTGCTGTAACAGTCGTGATATGTCTCGCATAGCTTGATGCAGTCCTGAAGAGTAATTATAGATCTTTATCGAATTTAAATGCATCAATTCGTGAAATGAAACGGGTCGATTTTCTACACATTTCTACACTTCAACTCTTCACCTTTATCTTGGATATCATGGTACACTTGGATTCGTTCCAAATGCTTAATTTCCCATCTTCCGTTAAGTACGTTTTACATGCTAATATCATCTGATTTGTTATCTATATAAAGGAGAGAAATTTCATAATAATAAAAATATATAAAATTCCATTGCAATTCTGCAAACTAATCTCATAATGAGCAATCTGATGTAACGGTATATTTAGAAATCGCTATTCAAATTTATTGAAAAATCCAATTCTGGAAGAATACCTTGACATAGATAGCGGTTACCATCCTTCTCGTGTTGAAAAATCGTGATGTAGCATAAATCATTCTTATGGCATGTATGAGCGCGGGTAAGTGATCTCCTATTTTTGTCGGATCCAATCTGTATAATGGTTGCGTGAATTTTTCTAACGCGTACAGGTACTTCACGTTGTCTTGTGACAGAATATGCACCAATATAACGTGATCTTCCAATTTCCGCCATTTCTACACATAAAATTCTTCATCGGTAAATATTTCATTATGTCAAACTGTATAGTGCTTGTATACGTGCAGCCTTTTTAATCATTCTTCCATCTCAAATAGCGTCGTCGAAACGAAACAATGAGAAATAATACAGCGAAATTAAGATTTCGTAATTGTTCATTTAATTCATAGATCCGTTTTGAGACTCTTGAACATCCTCTCACTTCTCTCTCTCTCTCTCTCTCGTATCCGTTTAAAATCGTTCGATAAAATACACACAATGCTCACGCAATTCCTCTTGAGAAGAATTTAATAAATATTTTAAATTGGATTCCCCCTGCTATATATATATATATATATACACCACTTCGCACTCGACGTTTCACTGTATATCGCTATACTTTATTCTTTCGGAAGAATTAAACGGAACGTTCAAAGAATACAAGATAACGGCAATGGCAAGGTAACGTCGGGAATGGCAGGAAATGAGAAAAGAATCGAGACATTTCAAGAAGCCAAAGCCAAATTTTAAAGATTAAGAATTCAATTTCGCGGAATGGTCTGTCGCCAGTTCCAATTTAACTCCCTATTTCACTCTCTTTATCTTTAGCACTGGGCGATATTCTCTCTTTCGGGTGTAACACAGGGCGACATTCGATTTCATACGCATTACGTATTTACATAGCGTACCTTTATAAGTTTGGACCTAGCCTCCGTTAGGAGTCGTATAAATGACTGAGTATGAGGCGACTTAATGTGGTTCATTATCGATGAAAAGCGAACGAATAATCTCCGCCAATACTCAAGTTCCGCGGACGGTCCTACGGTCTCGGTTTCCCGGCGCAATTGTTGACTCTCGACGACAGCCTAAAAAGGAACCATTTATTTTATAACAATCGTATAAGCTTAATCTGAGCTGAGACGTCGAGATGAGATATAATTAATAAATATCACACTCGTTCCATCGTCTTCATCCACATTTGGACGTCGGCTTCTGCGGCTACAATAACGTTCGAATTGAGAATGCTCTCTCTTATATTTTCAGGTTGCATGAAATATTTCTGATAAAGATCCCAATTAACTTGGAAGAGCATAATGTTCTCTAAATCTATCTTCGTCACTGGAGGAGAAAAACGAGGGATCAGATACTTCTTTTGAAGGACGAAAGGTACGCGCGTCACACGCGAGAGAATACAAATCGCATATAATTTGCTTACTGCTAAGAAATTCGCAGAAATCTTTAAAATCGCCTACGAAATCATTTCTCATATTCTTCGTCAATTGTCCCCATTGTGTGTCGACGGTCAATGTTCGCATATGTAAGCGCGAAATCAAGTCGGATACACCTCCCAAGGCACTCTTCGATGTAGGATCTACTTCGGCATACGCGTAATATGTTTCCTGTGTGAAACGTGGAAGAAGAAACATAAGATAAAGAAAGCAAAGAATAGAATGTCGTCTTTACACCTTTATACGTATATAAAGTGTATCGGCAGACTTTTCTTTTAACGCAGAGTTCATTGATTTATGTTTTGATTTCAAGAACTATGCCGTTTTGTATAATACATTTTTCTGATGGTTTACAAACCTTTAAAAATTTTGAATAAATATATATAGTATAAATAATTATCGTATTATATATGACTGAGTAAACAGAATTACTGGTTGAAATTCTTTTCGTGGCTCACGAAACATGAAAGAATATCCTATTTGCGTGAAATTTTCGACACGAACTAGAGGAAAGAGTTATCTGAACCGCGGGCGTACTTTAAATTGTGTACAATCTCGTTAAACTCATGCATCTTATCAGTGCGAAAGTGAGTTAAAACTTTACACTTCATGAGTGTCACGGCATCCGGAAAATGCGATGTAAATTTAAATCTGAAGTCAATTCTGGTTGTAAGTAAATTCTCTCGATACGTCAACTTTTAACCGAGGAGGTGCTTACATCGAGCAGCTCCTTGACTCCGAACTCAAGATTTGACTTTAATCGATAAACTATTACACATTTGCCTGTGAACTCTTCGGCAGTACCGTCCGTTATGCAACAACGTATAACTTCTTGCACCCCGCTAAATTGCGGCGTCCATCGTCCGGACTCTAAGATTATGTAAGTTTTATTACGACGTCATGATATAATATAAAATAATATTATTTTCTATGTTAAAATAATATATACGAATAATATATACGAATGGAGAGAGAGAGAAATACAGAGCCAGAAATAGTTTATAAATATTGCAAATGGAGGAACAATTATGTTCCTCATAGATGTTGCAAAAGCTCCACTTAATTAATTAATTAAGTGGAGCTTTTGCAATCACTTAATTTTCCATCCACTTAATTAATTTTAATAACAATTATGAGAAAAATGAAGACAATTTTTCTTTAATGAAAATGACACAAGAGCTCATCATTTATCAGCGTTATGTACCTTTGTAATCAAATTAAAACTTTGTTAAAATTTACTCAAAATCAGTAGAATATAATTCTTTCGATAAGTCTCTCCTTTGGAAGAAAAGTTCTCATAAAAAATCCTTTATTTTCGGTCACTGATTAATTAAAAAAAAAAAAAAATTGGCACTTCGATATTCTCGTGAATTGAAAGCAATTCGTCGAGATAATTGAAGAATATTAGGATCAGGGTTAGGAATATTAGGAATATTAGACCGATTTCTATTTCTCTCTGTCATTTGTCACAAATTTGCATAAATAAATATATCAATTGATACCAAACGCCGGCGGACTCATCGTTTGAAAATGTATAATAATCGCTTGTTTGCCACCCTCGGCGAAAAAGCTACTGAACATATTCACGTATTCATCCTTATCGAGAATTCCTTCCTCCAACACTTCAACATCTGTGTTTAAAATGTATGCTGCCATTTCTAAAACATGTCGATGTGTAGTCGTCAATAATCCTTCTCTAGCGTAACGATTTTCCTTGAATTTCGCCTACAATAAACAGTACCCGAAATAAAAGATCCATTTTGTTTTAATAAAAAAACCATTTTCCGCTCCTTTATAATCATGGAGATGAATGTCGTAAAATGTAATAATGTTCAAGCTGAAATACGTAATTTTTCAACCATTTACGAAAGAACATCACAGCAGAAGAGTACTTACGAGTCTTTCTTTTGTACTTTCCGTAGGTAAATCTTCCCGCGTGCCGATCCTCCTCTTCAATAACTTAGCAATTCTTTGGTCAATAGCTGGTTTCGTGTAATCCCGCGACGTGGAAGACATGTTTGCCATTATTGCAGAAAGAAGAAATTGTAAACGTCGGCACGTAAAAGAAAGGATTCGAGAAAAATGCGCAAAAGACCGGAATAAGTATCGACAGAACACGCTTGTCTCTGACAACTCGTCATAGATCGACCCGAAATTATGCATTTCAGCTGAGATATAAACAAACAAATGAAAGTCCTACGTATAGACAATGGCCGCGTTCAGCAGAAACAGCTGTTTACTAAGCACTAAATGATTATCGCTCCTGATTGGTTCATTCCCTTGGATTCGTTAAAGATTTAAAAGAATACTCCAATCATAGTTAATAATCACTAAGCACTTAATAAACGTTTCATATTCCGACTACGGTATTTCTAAAAGGGTGCTAATGCACAGCGAGATATTTTTACGCTAAATCCCGTAAGGCTATGTCTTATAGCAAATAATTTTGCAGCTTATATCCGGTGACACCTTATTTTCGCATCGATAAGTCTTGAACTTTCCGCTTTAATTTCTCGCTAACGAATAGGCGCATCTTGTTGTAATTTGTGAAGATCTTTCTTATTTTGAGTCTAGATTAAAACCTTATTATCCATATTTCGATATTTAATATTTCATTTCCGTGCCTGTCATTTCTGTCTTTCGTAGCCTGTAATTCCGAAACGTGTAGTCGCAGCTCGATGCGGTTCACAAGGATCTTTTTTTATTTCGGACTTACAGGTCACGCAAGATGGAAATATGACATGCTCGACAATGACCTGTCATGAAATATTAATTATCGAAATATGAGTGATAAGGTTTTAATCTAGACCCAAAATAAGAATGATTAGCGTAAACCGCATCAAGCTGTAATTACGCGTTTCGCATTCAGAGGCCACGAAAGATTGAGACTTGTCGGTGGCATAACGGATGTTGTTGAGAAATATATTTTTAGATAGCGCGGCGGAAAATACAGGAAGGCCAGTATTCATAGTCATGTTTAAGGCTGTCTTAAGAACAATTTTAAGATGCCATCTGGATTCATAGTCAAAGTTAAGATGATCTTAAGAGTGGGGCTTTGTTCCGATATTCACTACCAGCACTGAAAATCTATAATATACGTGACATAAACTATATATTGTCAGTACTGGTAGTGAATATCGGAACGCAGCCTAGTCTGTTCTTTTTAGCTGCACTATTGAACTGGTGCAATAAGTTAAAGTGAGAAAAAACATAGTTGTCTCATTGGGTGCATTCAGTACTACAACCGCTCACTGAGCGCTCAATGAGCTTTTACATTTGATTGGTATATTCCTTTAGATTTAAAAATATGCACCAATCAGATGCAAGAGCTCACTTAGCGCTTAGTGAGCGGTTGTAGTACTGAATGCACCCATTCTAAGTTATTGCACTTGTTCCGCAGTGCAGCTAAAAAGAACTGAATGAGTCTAAAGGTCATTCTACAATACGTGTCGTAAGTTGTAAGTCGTAAAAACTGACCAATTATAGTCGATTATTTTTCTAATAATCGACTATGATTCACCAATTCTTACGACTTACAACTTACGACATATATTGTAGAATGACCTTTAAACATTACCTTGATGAAGACTGTTTTCAAATAAGACAGTCTTGTATGACGTAAAAGAAGTTAAGCCAGCGGCACACGGTGCTTGTTTTTGTGCTGGATTGCTTGCTAGATGAAAATACTGCGTTTTGATTGGTACATTTCCGAAGATGGATGGAAATGCACCAACCAAAACGCAGTATTTTCATCCAGCAAGCAATCCAGCACGAAAACCAGCACTGTGTGCCGCTGGCTTTAAATAAGGCCATCTTCGTCAAGTCTTCTGAAATGAGCTCTTAAGGCCAGTATTCATAGTCGGATCTTATATTTAAGACCGTCTCAAATTCATCTTCAGATGCTGTACAAATTATTTCATTGGCTACAAAGTATCTGAAGATGAACTTAACACGGTCTTAAATATAAAACCTGACTATGAATACCGGCCATCAGATGATTTTATTTGTAATCGCTAGTGAGAAGGGTTATTTTACAGTGTGGTATGTTTTTAGTGTGGTGGCATATTGGAATGGAAAAGACGAGGAAAAAAATGAAAGTGAAAAGTATTTAAAAAATTGAAATTCCAGCAGGAATAAAGCAAAAAATGGATATTCAAGATATTGATATTGAAGAAATTGAAGATATGGAAGATCTTGCAGTAACACGAATTCCAAAACGGTATATTCGTGATCAAAATAATATATTTGAATTTTATGAAGATTCGGAATTTAAGAAATGCTTTAGATTTTGTAAAGAATCTGTTCTACATGGGATATTACCTAGAATAGAACAATATTTAAGGAAGGTTAACAATCGTGGTTTACCAATTGATCCTATCGTGCAATTGTTAGTCTGTTTACGATTTTATGCAAGTGCAAGTTTTCAGGTTAGAAACATTGTATCTATATGTTCATTCATTATTGAATATGTGTGTGTGTGTGTGTGTGTGTGTGTGTGTGTGTGTGTGTGTGTGTATAATATTGTATAGTATTTAAATAGTGTCCTAATATATATATATATATTAAATGATAATAATAATCTGTTTTCTATCTCTGCGAAATTATAGATAGTTGTTGGAGATACAATGGCATTGTCGCAGCCAACAATATCCAGAATTGTTTTTCGTGTGTCAGCTCTACTTGCTAGTTTGATCTCAGATGTTATAAAAATGCCAACTACTCAGGAAAGAAAAAACAAAAATTATCAGTTATTTCAAGCTCTTGGATATGGGAATGGAGCAATTGGATTACCTGGGATTGATGGTGCAATTGACTGCACACATATACGCTTAACACATACACGATTCCATGGTATTGATGAAGTATTTCGTAATAGAAAAGGTTATTTTTCATTAAATATACAGGTATGTTATAATTCATTGATAATAATCCATTGATTATAATTTGATAATAATCTTACTTGATAATTATATAATGCTAATATGTATACATCTTAATTTATATTTTACTTATTTTAATACAAAACAGACTGTCATTGGACCTCGAATGGAGTTTCTTGATATTGTACCAGAATATCCTGGCAGTCAACATGATAGCAGGATTTTTAAAAATTCAAGAATATACATGCGATATATGCAGGAAAGACTAAATGGTAAACTAGTTGGTGATTCTGGTTATCCAGCTTTACCATTTCTTTTGACGCCTATAGAAAATCCACAAACAGACGAAGAAATAATGTAAGAATCTTTTTTGTATTTAATATAAATATTTCTTTATATATGGCTATTAGGAATATTTATTACATAGCAAGTAAAATTCCTTTTTTACATTTAGGATAATTTTAATTATACAAAATATATATTTAATTATATTAATTATAAATTTATTCAATTCATGTTTTGCTTAATTCAATATATCTTAAAATTCTCTATATATCTATTATTTTCAGGTATAATATTATTCATGGAAGAACAAGACAAATTGTTGAAAGAACGTACAGTGTGTGGAAACGACGATTTCCTTGTCTGTCAAGAGGACTTGGCACAAAATTATTATGTTCTACAACTATTGTAGTAGCATGCGCAGTATTACACAATCTTGCTCTTATGTTCCATGATGAACTTCCTGAGGATAATGAAAACGATCCACGTGATGAATATGAAGAAGTGCCAATAAATCCTCCACATTGGCAGCCAAGAGAAGGGTTTGCAGTGAGAGAAGCTCTCATTGAGGATTTATTTCGATAAATTAATTTTGAAAATATATGTTTATAATTGTATCAATTATTAGACAATGTACAAAAATATACTATATTTTTTAAGTATATAATTGTAACATTTTATATACAAAATATAAATTAAAACATTTAGAATATACATTTGTTGGGTCTACATTATGTTATTATATATAATCTAATAAAAAAAGACTACAAAACTTTATATATATATAAAATATTTATTTTAATACATAACAAAATATATATTTTTTATTAATAACATGTTTTTTCAATTATATATATATATATAAATACATGCACGCGTATGAAATTATAAGATAACAAATAAAAGTAGGTATTATACCCCAACGGAAAATAATTTCTTATGAAAATTACGAAAATACAAACAAAACAAAAGTATAGAACTAAAAATATTTTGGACAAATTTGAAGCAAACACAAAGAGACCTTATAACCAAATAAGAATTGCTATTGATTAGTACAATACTAGTAGAGGAAAAGAACTACCATCAGTACAGTTTGATCCAGAAATAGCCTTAATTGCGCCCAATTTGACAACTGCAGCTATTATTTTTCTAAAATATAAACGATAAAAAGGTCTTACATCAATCAATGTGTTTTACATGAAATGTATGAAAAATATAAAAATAGAACATAAAATTAACATAAAATGAAAAGAAAAGTTTTGTGTTATAAATTATAGAGTTATTTAAATAGATAAATATATGTAAGATATATATTTGTTGCATAATATAATAAAAAGGAATTTATATTATAGCACTCACTTTTGGAAATTGAATTGTGTTATAAATTATAGTATTAGATTATTTTCTTTCCTTTTCTTTTTCCAACAAGAGTTCTGCAAGTTCGGCTTTTGCTACTGATGCTCTTAATTCTAATTTATTAATTTCTTTTAAATGTGTTTCTTTCATAGCATACATAATTTTTTCATGTCGCAATTTCATTTCTGCTAATTGATGTTCTTGATCTATTATTTGTTTAATTCTTTTGATTTTTAAAGTGTCTTCTGTTTCCACAAATTTGCGTTTTCTTGTAGTTTGTTTGTTTTCATTCCTTATGTTCCACTCCTCTGTTGTAACTTCTGTTAAAAAGTAAATAATATATCTCGAAATTATAAGGTATAATTGTATGTACTTATATTCCAAAAATGGATGGAAATGATTTAAATAGATAAATATATATGTACGATTCATATTTGTTGCATAATATAATGAAAAGGAATTTATATTATAGCACTCACCTTTGAAAGTTGAAACATTGAAACTAGAATCATGTATGGTATTTTCCTTACCATTGTCTACGACACTTTCATTTTCCACAGTGTTCTCAACTATTATATCCATGTTGCTAATTATATTTGGTAATGTCCGCGTTCCACCTGAAATTCAGGTAAAAATTTATAAAATATTAATCAATGAACAGTTACTAATATAATATGTAACATAACATATAATATATATTATATAATAATATAATATATAACATAATTGTGTAATGACATAATATATAACATTATATGTAATAACTTGATACATAAAATCATTTTAACTTTATTATTATTATTAATATATTGAATCATATATTCATTAGTATTATTTTTTACTTATTGTTAAATGTACTTATAAGTACATTAGAGAAGGTATACTTTTTATCTCCTCATCACTCATATTTGATGAAAATAATGTTGGAACTGTATCTGTCAAATTTGGTGCAATTAATGTTACTTCTGAATCAAGCTGTACTGATATTTCTTCCCCTTCGCTGGTAGCAACTCTTGCTTGTCCCTTTTTGATTATCAGGTCTCTTTGTATTTGTTTCAAATTTGTCCACAGTTTTTTTAGTTGTTGCATATTTCTCTAAAATATTAAAACTTAGTATAAAAAGAAAGTATACAAAAAATATAAAAAGAAAATATAAGAAGAAAGAAATGACTATTAATTTAAAATATTAATATCATAAAGTACACTATATGCTATCAATTTGTTAACAAACTTAATAAAAATACCCAGGCAGCATTAATCTTCAAGAGACATTTATTAATGGGTAGAGTACCATTTGACATTGCAAACGCTTCGAGGCACCAAATAAGCCAAAATTAAATTGACCTATTCGTTACTCTGCAGCATTTGCAGTGCTAAACATCCTACCCAATGTAACCTAATTACACTAAAATGTTACAATTTCATTTACCTCTTGCGTAATTATTGAAGAGTTATTAAATTCTTCGTAAATTTTTATCCACGCAACCTCTTTATCACGAAGAGTGCTCGCGTCATTTTTCTTGCACTCAACAACATGTTTGTACTTTTGTAATAATTGTAAAAATAGATTTTTTTCGGCTGGGGTATAATGCTTACTTTTACTGGCCATTTTATATTGCTTACCACTTAAATCCACTTTAATAAATTATTTTTAAAAACACTTGAAAGTTTAATAAATACTGAAGGTTCTTAGGCGGGAATATCTAATGTCAACTGATGTTGCATTCCGTTGAATATAGAATTCCCTTATCCTATTAGTTAGTCTATAGGAAATATTCCGAACATTTCCTAACGTAAATAAGCATTGGTTGCATTCAGCAGGACAAAACGGTTGCAAAACCGTTTTATAATTTTCTTCTGAACGGTACTAAACGAACTCAGCGATTCAACATGTTTACTCAGCGGTCGCCATGTTGTTCAGCGAACTAAAAGTAAGCTGAACCTAAGCACGGCTGCGTTCCGATATTCACTGCAAGTATTGAAAATACATAGTTTGTGTCACATATGCTATAGATTTTCAATGCTGACAGTGAATATCGGAACGTAGCCCACATGTTGAGCAAGATGGATGCTCCCAATTTATGTGAAGCACAATACACATATAAAGACGTTATACATAATGTAGATTCTATAGAGGTGCACAAGCAATTAGAAAAAGATATTTATAAATAATTTAATAATTAAATATATAATTATACTCACATCAAAGTATATTTAGATATTAATGCATATTATAGATAATGCATAGGTTAGAATAAAGCTACACAGCAAAAATAAAAAGGAACGTTTCAAATTTTATATAGATCTTTTTTAATGCACGAAGTGTATCAAATATAACAGCTGAATAAGAAAAATGCATATAGAACTATTTTACAGCAAATAATGAAAGGTTAATTCGATGTTTACAAATATATATATATATATATCACTCAGCGAGTACAAAGAGCGTTCAGCAGAACACCCAAACTGTTGCAATATATCACTAAACTGTTTACAAAGCGCTGAGTTCTGCTGAACCAAAGAGAAACCTTATACTTCGTCTACAATAGAAGTCGTAAAATCGTAAAGCCAGCGGCACACGATGCTTGTTTTCGTGCTGGATTGCTTGCTGGATGAAAATACTGCGTTCTGATTGGTACATTTCCGAAGATGGATGGAAATGCACCAATCAGAACGCAGTATTTTCATCCAGCAAGCAATCCAGCACGAAAACAAGCACCGTGTGCCACTGGCTTTAGCCGCTCTCAGGTTCCTTTCTGCTAATGGCTAAACAGGCGATATCGAGACTCTAGCTGCGTTCCGAAATTCACTGCCAGTACTGAAAATAATAGTTTGTGTCACGTATATTATATATAGAATTTCAGTGCTGGCAGTGAATATCGGAACGCAGCCTCTGTTGACAATAAATTAAAATTGCAATAAATAAAATATAAAATGCAACATCAAGATATTCCCGCTGTCGCTGTTTAATGAAAAATTGATGTCTTAATCGATGATATGCGGGCACATGCGCGGAAAAGCTGACAGAAATACAACCAACGACAGGGCAAGGGGAGCTTTAAATAGTATAACTCAAAGGCAGATCGGACAAACCGTTATTTTTCCGTTGTCTAATTGTAGAGCGGTTCGGGCAGACTTCTTTTTATGATAAGAAATAGAAGTCTGAATCAGCACTGAGTTAATTTATCAAGTAATCGAAACCCGAGCAGGACAGACTTCATTGTAATCACCGAATGTGCCGTTACGCGTGAACAGACCTGTTCGGCGGTCACTCATATGTTTTCATCACGCTGCTAAAGTCGTCGTTGTCAGGTTTATTAAAGTCAGTAACTAAAGTCCGATCAAAGTCAGCTCGATTCGGTCACGTTTGTGCGTGCATTCAACAATATTCTTTGTGACTTCCTGTCCTCGTGATCGCATGTCATCCAAGTTCTCACGTATGACGACGTAACCTACTGTCGCGTTGCGTTGCTCATATGATCGTCGTCTACACGACCTCGCCTATAACTTTATCTTCAGTCTGACAGATAAGTTCTGACGCTTCCACGTGGAATTCGCAATGTACGGGTGTTATGCCACTTGATACTGAAGTTACAACGAGGTCAGCTCACTGCGTTGGATGCTTCGTGTGCAGGACTTGTAATAAGTCTAGTATTTCATTTTTCGGGAAGAATTTTCTTGCTGCTTGCGTCTGTGAAACGTCACATCAAAGTGAGTGCACAGGCTGTTGACATCTGATTAGTGAAGAGCTGCTGAACAGAGAAGCAGAGAAGCTAGAACGAGTGCAGGACACGAAGCAGAATCTGTTTAAAGGCAGTACTGAGCTATATGGGAAGGATGAACAGAAAAACCAATAGTGCATCTGCCAGATTAAAGCAAGATTATCTTCGTCTAAAAAAGGATCCGGTACCATATGTATTAGCAGAGCCAGTACCTTCTAACATATTAGAATGGTAAGTTCAGTGGTATATAGGTTAAGTGAACAGTCATTGATTTTTTTGATCGAGTTATACATAGTCTACTATTTGTTTCAGGCATTATGTTGTAAAAGGACCAGAGAAGACTCCATACGAAGGTGGCTTCTACCATGGCAAGTTGATATTTCCAGGAGAATTTCCATTCCAACCACCTAGTATTTACATGACTACACCAAATGGTCGTTTTAAAGTCAATACCAGACTATGTCTGTCCATTTCTGACTTCCATCCTGACACATGGAATCCAGCGTGGAGTGTGTCCACCATTCTCACAGGATTGCTTAGTTTTATGGTAAATTTTTCCACATGTCAGAAAAATGCTACATACACATACATACACGTATGTGTTAAAAGTACTACACCAAATATAAAAAATATATATATTCTATACTTTATAAACATTTTTATAGATTGAAAAAAGTCCTACACTTGGCAGTATTAGTACAACAGACGATGAGAAGAAACAACTAGCTGCACAGAGCTTAGAATACAACTTGAAGGATAAGATGTTCTGTGAACTCTTCCCAGAAACTGTTGAAGTACATCCATCTCTAGAATATTACAATATTAATATTATGTAATATTAATTTCTGCTTTATATCACTGCTTTATATCAGGCAATCGAAGCTGAGTTGGAACGACGGAAAGAGCTGGAGAAACAAGCAAGGCATCAATCCACCGCCTCCGAAGTCTCTTCATTGATACGAGATCAGTTGCAGAGAGAGCAGAGCCCATTCAACAGCACCTTGGCTAATCTCGTCGTTATTATCGGCTTCGCAGCGTTCGCGTATACAGTAAAATACGTGCTGAGGAGTATCGCCACGGAGTGAATTAAGAGCGAGTCGAACGTCAAGTCACAGCGGTCGTAATATGGCAAGAAGCTATCATCTGATCTGGGTAAATTTTGGAACGATAGCGAGAAGAAAATGAGAGAAGAAGAATTCAGGAGCTCCCAAATCCGAACATTTGCCTGTTGATATCTACGTCGAAGCTGCGCAGAATCGTTCAAGTCTGTACAGCTTCAAACCTTTGCCAGTATAGGCTTGTGGGTATTTGATAGATTTTTATATCAAGTCGATTGTAAGATACAAGCTGTACTATATAAGCACGAGTTTTATTCAGTAGCCATTATCAAAGGAAAGTATGAGTTATAGTGTACGTTCCGATATTTACTGCCAGTACAAATCTATGAATCATATTATGTATACTATAGTTTCTTAGTACTGGCAGCGAATGACAGAACGTAGCCATAATCTGTTTGTTTTGTTGCTTTAATTATGAATTGAAAAATTATATTGTACCTTATCTTATTTCCTTGTTGACATTAACAGATGCAATTGGATTCTCGCTAATTTCCAGAGACAAGAAATTTAGCTGTAATCCTCTCTAAATTTCTTCAATTGAAGTCTCACTCAAAGTGATAATGGAAATTCTGCCATCCGGAATCGTAAGAGTGAATGTTTTATTCCAACCTAATTCCAGCTTCTTATGAATAAATGTTCCTATTAATTAGAATGGATTCGTTTCTCTGTAGCAATTGGATGCATCAGATCCAGTTTCGAGTAAAAATATCCACTTGATTATTCAAGAGCAAAGAATTCACTCTATATAAATAGAAAATCATTCAACCTTGTCTGAGTCGATGTGAGTCATTCTACTCCTTGAGTGAAATTTCGCTCCAAGAAACTTAGAGCCTGAAAGGGATCGTAAAATGAGACGATATGGTCATTATGGCTTCCTATCTTTTTCGCACCAAAATTTGCACTCTTCCAGCGCAGCTTGTGATTAGGATTTGCGCTACATCGTCCTTCCTTAAGTCGAATTTTTTACGAATTCGAATTTGTTCAGGTTATTAATTGTACATCCGTTATTTAACACTTTGACGACCGGTATCCGCAGATGTTAATTAACAATAAATTTGTTTTCCCGGTCTCCAAAGTTTAGATATTTATTTGGTTTTATTTACACAGGGAAATCTTTGTCGGGTATAAGTGCACAAATTTATCACACCGTGCCAATAAAACTAAGCCCAAACTGATAATGGAGAGTAGCTGAATTAGATTATACTTCGCAATCTGACATATTCCATTCGTTAAAAATGAGTCCACCTTGTAAATATACGATAAGGACACATTGTATCGTATTATACATTAGCGAAGTTCGACTTCTTTCTATCTCAATCTTGCGATATTTTTTTGTTTACTATGATTAAAACGTGACTCGTAGACTTGTTTCTTCGTGCACTGAGAAACAGAAATTTCTTCCTCTTGAAGACGTCTGTCGTTTCTTCCTCAGTCAGTTCAAAGAATATGTTTATATCTTTAAATCGTTAAATTTGTACTTCCATGACAACAGTTTTTGTAATATCGGTGGAAAAAGAATATCATATGTTATTATCAAACAAGCGAACGGCAAGATAATTACTCGGTCGACATAATTTTACTTTTTTTATGGGCGATTTATTTTTCTTTTTTTTCATGAAATACGGATTTTTAATGTTATCTGTTTCTCGGAAAATGTGATGGAGGCAAATTACGGATATGCTTTTTATACGTATTCTATTATTATTATACGTTGAAACATACGTGGAAATTGCATTGTAACTTGTCAAGATCATGTAAATACAACAGATTAGTACTATTATTACTATTATTATTCTGTAAGCGTGTGGAGAAAAATATAGTACGTTTCAGAAGAGAAAAATATCTCGTATTTCGAGTTATGTTTATTCATCAAAGGTCCTTCGCTCTTTCGGTTGATCTTCGGTTCCATAGAATTAAATCTTATCGATGTTAGAAAGTCTTTGCAAGATATTCTACATATAATCGTTTAACATTTTGCATGTTAATGAATGGGACTTTTGTTACGAGAGGAATTTCAAGATCGACAGAAGCTCGCCTATGGCTTATCAGTTAGAGTCGAAATATAAAGAAACAGCGAGTATTCTTATAGTAGCGCGCGTTTACCGTTCCCGTAAACTGTTAGAATCCCCAGCGTTGAATGCCTCGTTGTCCAAGTGCGCTCGGGAGGAAGGACACATCCTGTGAACCGAGTGTGTGTTCTCTCGCCGATGTCGTGTTTATTCCTTCCTACCGTGAATAAATCGGGGTCAAGTTTTCTCTTGCGTTCTTGCACTAGCAGCCGTATTTATTAATCCTTTCGGATCTTCCTTCGATGATTCTGTGTGTTTCACGTAAAATGTCGTTCGGCTCGAATTCGATGGATCATTTGCTCTCGCGAGTTTTACGATATATTTCAAATATCGAGTTTTTCTTGTCGAAGTGTGCTTGATATATAAATTTTAAATTAACTTTTTCTAACAGATTTTATATTAACACATGTATTTTTCCAGTTTGCAGAGGAAAATTGTGTTTGAAATTAATCTTTCATCTTATAGGATATTTTGGATTATTTTCGAATATGTAAATAAAGAGCATTAGATCAACATTTTGAAATGTTGATTTTTATGTGTACGTCTTGAACGTCCTCAATATTTTTAAAATATTTGGAAGATATTATCGGATAATACATTTTCGAATATAATAATAGATATTTTTAAATAATATGGTATATAATATGATATCAAATGTAATAATAAATATTTCAGAAATATTAGAATATATTGAAGTTATATTCGTAACGACATTGATACCTCGTTAAAAATTATGTATTTGAAAACATTGTACGATATTGAATATCATTGAAACAACGTTCTATCAATGTTTCTTTTTTTTTTGTTCATTGGGTATCATTTTTTATTACTGATATTATTTTTAGTTTTCCGCTCACGTTACATCTGTCAACGTCCCGCTTCGTTTTGACGCCGAATCAAATTCCGCGTCTCTCTTCCATGTGTATCATCAACTGGCCAGCACATGTCGCGGACGTGATATTACTTTCTGCTTACGCCACCCTTATGATCCGCTTTAATCCGGAAAAACATCCCGCAAAAGAAGCAAACAGCAATTTATTCGAGCACAAAATAACAAGGAAGTCGTGCTACGGCCGAGCCGCCTCCCTGCCGGAAAGCCGCGTGCATAATCTCACCCTCGCCGCCGAAACACACACCCTTCCGCGACGTTCACCCGCCCCTTATGTGTAAATCATCGAAAGAGGCGCCAGGACACTTTCGGTCTAGCTTCAGATCCTGCGTAAATAGGATGCACATGTCCGCGGGGCAGGATGTGTCGCGCGTATCGGATATGCATTTATTAAAGCGATCGCGTTTAAAAGTGAGGACTGGAAAAATACGTGCAACAAGTTATTAAAAGCTTATAAGAGAAAAACATACCGATATAATCGTCGTCCTGCTTTTGTAGTAGAAATTTATGTTTCAAATATACGTATACTATAGTATGTATGTGTGAAGCGCTGTTTTTCTTTTAATGATATTCACTGAGATATGAGTTGTAATAGTTAGGAATCAAATTGCCGCTCTTATTATTTCCTTTTTCTCGTAGAACACACTAGGCTTTTGTTCGCGCGAAATTATAATATTAAGCGATATCTCGTCGTATATAAATTATATGTAGAGGAAGTCGGACTTTCAGTTCCGTCACGATCGAAATTCGAAGTCGTCGAACTTTATGCGTCTGTTCAATACCGGAAATGAATGAAATGAGGACTTTCCCGCGAGGGTGATTTAAAGTGTCGTCAATCGAGCCAGAATGCTTCGTGGAATCATTTTACGCCCTCGTTTCTCTCGACGGGAGAAACGAAACGCGATCGCGACCAAAAGAATGAAAGAAGGGGAACGAAAGCACGACCATCGAAAACCGTCCCGGGATAATTAACTGTAGGGACGACCTCATTACGCGACTTAATGAGCTGCCAGCGTTCGCGTCGCGCCCACATCACGACGTTGATACTTTTTCAGGACTTTCAGGATACGACGAAAGAAAGAAAGGAAAACTAGCAGAAGAAAGAGGAGAAAAAGAAGAAGAAGAAGAAGAAGAAGAAGAGAAAGAATTCCCTGCTCACGGTAAAAATTATCTTTAATACAGACATTACAAGACACGGTGATTTATGGAGACCAGAATTAAAGTTGAGACTGACGTTGAAATATTTTTTCATTCCAGAGACCTCATTATGGGCAAACGCCGAATATGCTTTTCTAATTCAAAGTTCTAATTTTCCTATACGAACATCACGCGCAACGATATATATTTCAATTTGAGAATCAGAAATTTCAACCCAACCCTTTTTCTCCGTGCAAAAAGTCAGTAATCTAGTCAGTAAAATGAAAATTTGTGATTGAGTTTATTTATAACTGAAATCTTTTTATTGTTTTGTAATTTTTCTATTTTCTTCTCTCTTTCATCAAATGACAAATGCATGTCCATCCCATTTTAAATGCAGCTTCATGCATCTATAAAGAATAGGCTTATTGTATTATATTATTTTTATATTTATTCTTAACAGGCAATTGTGTTCACATACGTTCGAACTGCTCTTCCGTTGAGACGGATTTCGCATCGACTTCTATTTCCATCCGCGGCGTCGACTACGTCTCTTCGTCCACGTGTGTAGGTGAAGTTTGCTCCTTCGCTCTATCGCCAAACTGCCAGTGGAAAAACCGGCTCGGTGGTTCTCCACGTATTTACCTACGTCCGTCGCGCGGAAAGCGCTCATAATCCGGCGCGGAGCGCTTTACTGCCGGCGGGAAAACCGCCGTTCCGTACCGCGAATGAGTCCTCACCATTGGCAAAGAGATTGGCCCTATTCAGATATAAATATATATGCCGCCATGCGCGACGGCACATCGTTGGCACTAACGACGGGCGATACATCATCTCGGGGAAAACGAAAAGAGTGACAGAAATTGTGGTGATTTAGTATGAAAGGACAAGAGAGAGCAGATGTTTATACCCGGTCGTTCCTGTTCGTCGCACCTTCC